AGCTGCCAGAGGAGGGGCAGAGGCTAGGGCAAGGGCAGTGGGGGAGGGGCCGCTGATGTGTTTCTGTGCCTGTGAACCTCTGGGGTTAAGCTTCAAACACTTCCTGGAGGAAGCAGGGGCAGGTTACAGGAGTGTTTTGAGTTTTAACAGAAGCTCCTGGCATTTCCAAGCATCAGCTCTTCCGCACCCTCCCCACCTCTGTCTGAGCAGGCGGACTTGGCATCTTCTACACATCTTATGGCTTTTTTCGGGGGGGAAATGGAGAGATGGGTGGGTGGGGGTGATCATCCGCAGGGAGATGTCCATAGATCCAGCTCTCTCCCCAGCAGGAGGGGCTTCCCCGGGGCTCACCTGGGCAGGAGTGGGTCCCCTGCTCTGGGAAGGGGCTTCCTGCCTGGACTACAAGACCATCACACTATCCCCTCACCGGCCATTGCTTCCCCGTCATCTTGACTCTTGAAACTGGACGGTGCAGAGAGCTTACGTTGAGGGTGGATTTGAGGCTGTGGTCGGTGAGGAGCTGCTCTGAGCCCCAGAGGAGTGCTACTTGCCCCATGCACATGGGGTAAATGGGCCTCCTGCAGTGGCCTGAGGGGGTCCTTGATCTCAGCTGCAGCCTGGCAGTGGGTTGGTGCGGCTGAACTTCAGGGGCCCCACGGAGAGACTGCCGGTAGAGCTCCACGGAAAGACTGGGTACTCACCCCAGCCTTTCCGTGGCCCCTGGTCCCTGGCTCAAAAGGGCTAGCAACTTTGTTAGCCTATGTTGATGGAGTGTCAGCTAAGCACCACGCCCTGGCACCAAGTCTATGAACCAGAGAAAGACCCCTGACCTAGTGTAGGAGTCTGGGATGGGGCAGGCAGGAATCAAACACAGGGCTCCCATTTTCCCCCTTTGCTCCTTTCTGGAGCTGAAAATAAAGAAACTTATCAAGGAGATGTCTATGCTGCTACAAGACCCCGCGCTAATTGACCCGACATGGGTGCTGAACAGCATGGTGTGATCACAGTCAGTCCGGTGGGGCTTGTAGCAGTTCTCTCCTCCTTGGTTCTCTCGTGAGGACACCCACCCCTCACTTCCCGCCCATCTCATCATCCGGCATCCAGCATAGCCAACAACTGGGAAACATCAGGCACTGCCTCCCACGACCCAGGCCTGGGCCCACGTGAGGGATGGCACCTGCCCAGCTGTGGGCACCTGCCCCTGCTCCTCTGCTGCATCCCAGGCTGACCAGAGAGGAGACCCCGGCAGGCATGCAGGAGCGGGTGGTGAGGGGCAGGGTCTGAAGGTGTGTGTGGGGGGCGGGGGGCTTGTGGGGCTGGTGGTGGACAGGTTGGGAAAGGAAAGGGGATTGAACAAGCTATGGGGCCAGGGTGGATAGAGAAGGAATGAGGTTGAGTGGCAGGAGGCAGTGGGTACCACCTCCCCTAGCTGCCCTCTGGCTCTATGGTCGTGGGCAAGGCAGCAGGTATGGGGAGGAAGAGAGCCCTTCACTCCCTGTGGGTCCCCGAACATGTGAGGTCTGTCAGCTGAACAGCGAGTAGCAGGATGGGGGCAGCACTTAAGTGAGGAGTGTCCCCTGACCCGCATGGCAAACTGACTCCACATAGTGACCTGGTTTCTGTAACAGCACCAGGCTGGTCAGCGAGGAGACGGGACATAATCATGACCGCAGACGTGGAGCGGATGCTTACAGTGGACCAGGCAGGGGTGGCCGGAGTGTCTGGCCTGCTGTCACTCGCGGAATCTGGGCAGTTAT